ATTCACTAACACTGATCTGAACAATAATAGGAAAATTAAAACAGTGATTTTCAAACTCAAGTTTGCATCAGAAATACTGGAGAGTTTCTTAAAATGTTTTAAGAGCTTTCTGTCCACTCACTGCCAGATTCTGATTCAGAAAGGCTTAGGGGAGGGGTGGCTGTGAAGTTGCATTTTTAGTAAGCATCTCCAGTGATTACTATGCAGGTGGTCTTTCAACCATACATTGAGAAACACTGCTGTAATCAATGTACTTAGGGGCTCCCTATAATGGATATAAAACTAATTTTATTTAAAAACTATATCAAATCTTAAATTAGCAAAATTAAACTTTTAAACTGGACCTCCATCATTTATTGCAAAATACCTAAATACTAAGCATTTAAAGAAAACAGACGAGTTGGTATAATTTTGAAAGCTAAAAAATCATTAGCTAACTATTTACTTATTCCCATTAATAATATTTTTCAATGACCTTGATTAGCATGGATCACATAGCCATTTTAAATTTCGATTTTCTGGTCTGCTGGTCTTTTCTGAAGAAGGATGAGCTTCTCCCCACTTTACCTCTGCCTTAGCATATTAACTTGTGAAACTACTCTGGATTATGTCAACTGAAATTTAAGTAAAAGTCAGTTTTTAGTCAGCTTTACTGTAGTAATAAACAGCCCCCAAATTGCAGGGGCTTATTTCTTCTTCATGTTATATTTTGGCCGGAGGTCAGCATTTGTTTCTAGTTCTCAGATCTTAGCTAAAAGAACACCCCCTATCTTATACACGTCATTCTGATGGCAAGGGCAATAGCGAGAGGCAGAGCCAAGCACATGATCCCACTGAAAGCCTCTTCTAGGACATGGCATATATCATGTCTACCCACATTCCATTGACCAAGCAAATCATATGGCCACCCCTGATAACTGGGTGGGGAAGTACACTTCACCTTCAAGTAGGTCTTGCAAGTGACACGGTGAGCATGGGAATGCATGACTCTGTTACAGGGAGGGAAATGAATAGTTGTGAACAATTTGATTATCTAACAGCTGGTTCAGTTAACAGTTATGATTTCAGCTACTAAGTGTTTCTTTTTAAAGGAATCATCCAGTTCCATAGAATATAACTCAAACAAAATATATTTAGAGAATATAATAAAATTTATAAATTTAAATTTAAATTTCTAATGGTCAAGGTTTACTTTTTTTATACCTATAAATGATGTCTTGGTTTGGTATGTTGCCATTGACTTTTTCTTTTAATCTTGACTATGAGCTCCATTAAGTTCTTGATCATATACTCAGTGTCCAGCCCCATGCCTGACCACACAATTGAATCTCAATAGATGATTCCTGAATGAATAAATGAGTGTTAAAGGTGGCTTGTATTAAAAGGGTATGAAGTAAGTCATGTAGTATCACTGTAGTTTGAATGTGTATTTTAAAAAATCATTGAAACTTCATTGGCTTCCTACTTTCTTTACTGTTTTACTGCTAAAAACAGATTTTTCTTGAAGTGTCCAGAGGGCAGGACAATAGATGAAAATTATAAGGGGGTCAATAGTTCATGGTTATCTTTATTCAATTTCTCTTGGGGAAAGTCATGTTAGATCTGTTGCAAGAAATAAACTCAGGAACTATGCCTTCTTTGTCTTTGTATATGCAGCACCTTGCAAGATGCCTGGTGCACAGTAGGTGCTCAGTAAATGCATGCTATTAGTTGGAGGTTTTTCTTATATTATTAGGTCACAGATGATCTACTTTTTTCTATTGTTTTCTTAAAACCTCTCTCCACATCCCCTAATCTCTAGCAACAAGGCCTTGTAAACAGAGAATACAAACTCTTATACTTCTTCACTATCCAAAAAACATTGTTTTGGGTAAAGTCTGTGTACCCTAATACTCTCTCCTCTCAGGACCAGCTCATTTTTTAACCAGATTTCCTGTGAAGGAGACAAGATGGGTGGCCAGAGAGGTTTTATTCCCAAGAGTTTAAGGATCAGTTTTGAGGGACTTTCTGCTTCAATGTGTCAAGGTATTCTCCCTCCCATGAAGCTCATGCTTAGACCCTCCTGCAAAGAAACAACCATGGCAGGTTGACCCTTCAGCTAGAAATAATCAAAATGTGTCTGGATTTGCAGTGAACCTGCACGGTTTAAAATTCTCTCTGGGACTTCTAATAACCTGTCCGCCTACTGGGTTTCTAGACACATAGGACTTCTGGGGAAATTATAAAAAAATCCTCACTTTAACTTCACTTTCTCTCTTCCCAATCTAGTAATTTTTACTTTAAAAGGATCCTCACAGAGTTAGGTGTAGCAACTTTGTATTGACTTTAAAAGTTTATTAGCTATTTGTTTCAAACTAGCTTTTCTTATTTGTTTATTTAGTTAAGGGGCTCAAGACTGATTAGAATTGCTATTTGTTTCAAATTTAATCATTTATAGAAATTTTCATTTTATTTGTAAACTTGAAATTTATCAATTTTTAAGGGATGGTGTCTGAATAACAAATATTGTGAAAGAAATGAGATCTCTGTATTTGAAATTATACAATATTCTAAATCCTGTTTAAGCTGCTTTCAGAAGAAACAATATTCTCCTTCTCAGAAGCCCTCTGATTTTACCTGCCAACTGAAGGACCCTTTATTTATTTATTTTTAGCTTGGCTAATTTTTTAAAATTTTATTTATTTTTTAATTAATTTTTATTGGAGTATAGTTGATTTGCAATGTTGTGTTAGTTTCTGCTGTATAGCAAAGTGAATCAGTTATGCATATACATAAATCCACTCTTTTTTAGATTATTTTGCCATGTAGATCACTACTGAGTATTGAGAAGAGTTCCCTGTGCTATACAGTAGGTGCTTATTAGTATCTATTTTATATATAGTAGTGTGTATATGTCAGTCCCAATCTCCCAATTTATATCCCCCGCTTTCCCCCTTGATAACCATAAATTTGCTTTGTGTTTCTTTTTTTAAAATAATTAATTAATTAATTAATTAATTGGCTGCTTTGGGTCTTGGTTGTGGCATGCGGGATCTTTCGTTGTGCTGTGCAGGCTCTTTGTTGAGATGCTTGGGCTACTCTCTAGTTGTGGTGTGTGGGCTCCAGAGTGTGCGGACTCAGTACTTGCGGTGTTTGGGCTCTCTAGCTGTGGTGCATGGGCTTAGTTGCTCTGCGGCATGTGGGATCTTAGTTCCCTGACAAGGGATTGAACCCACGTCCCCTGCATTGGAAGGAGGATTCTTAATCACTGGACCATGAGGAAAGTCCCCATAAGTTTGTTTTCTACATCTGTGACTCAATTTCTGTTTTGTAAATAAGTTCATTTGTATCATTTTTTTAGATTCCACGTATAAGCGATATCATGTGATATTTGTCTTTCTCTGTCTGACTTACTTCACTCAGTATGTCAATCTCTAGGTGCATCCATGTTGTTGCAAATGGCATTATTTCATCCTTTTTTATGGCTGAGTAATATTATGTTATATATATGTACCACATATTCTTTAACCATTCATCTGTTGATAGACATTTAGGTTGCTTCCATGTCTTGACTATTGTAAATAGTGCTGCAATGAACATTGGGGTGCATGTATCTCTTTGAATTATGGTTTTCTCCATATATATGCCCAGGAGTGGGATTGCTGGGTCATATGATAGTCCTATTTTTAGTTTTTTAATGAACCTCCATACTGTTCTCCATAATGGCTGTACCAATTTTTTAATCTCCAATCTCAAAAGATGAGTTGTACTCAATCATTTTTTATATCTTGTATATATGTATTATCTGCATTAGTTTTCTAAGGCTGTCATAACAAAACGCCACAGACTTGGAGGCCCAAACAAAGAAATTTTTTTTCTAATACTTATGGAGGCTGGAAGTCCAAGGTCAAGGTACCAGCAAGGTTGGTTTCCTCTGAGGCCTCTCTCCTTGGCTTACAGATGGCCCCTCTCTTGCTGCCTCTTCACATGGTAGTTCCTCTGTACACACACACCCCTTTTGTCTCCTTGTTTTATGAAAAAAACCCAGCCATATTTGGTTAGGCCCCACTCTAATGGGCTCATTTTAACTTAATCACCACTTTAAAGACCTCATCATAAGTAATATATTACCATATCATGTCTGTAGCTAGTACATGAAGCTGGCAAGATCTCTTCACTAGCTTGCCAGATACCTGTCTTTTAAATGCCTTCCATCTCTCAAAGGCTAAAAACAAGAGCTGTCATTCCGGGGTAACTGCATTATCTCTGGATTGTGGACTATTGGTATTTAACCATTTATCTTTTCAGCCTCATGGGTTATCTCCTTCTTGCCTTTCTGAGATTGCTGAGACAAATAGGTTATTCAAAGGCCTCCCTTAATTACCCTGAAACCCAGAAATCAAGTAGAGACCACCCAGAGACTTTTTTTTTTTTAAAGAAAAAGGATGCTTTAACTACTTCATCTCCAGGTTTCCATCTTTCTTTTCTCCTCCAGATGCAATCTCTCCCTTACCATGTGACTTAAGTTTTTGTAGAAAACATCATTTCTGACCACTTTTCAGGCCTTCAACTTCTCATGAATTGATACACTCCTGTCTCAACCTCACATCACATACTTACATTTGTCTAATAGATTTCTAGGTCATAGTGATTTATTATCACATAGCAGGAGCAACCACTATTCTAATTTCTACCACCGTAGATTAGTTTTACCTGTTCTTCAGTTTACATCCATGTAATCATATGAAATGTACTCTCGTGTCTGGCTTATTTTGCTCAACATAATATCTACAAGATTCATCACTTTGCTTTGTGTTGTTCATTTCTTGTTATTGCTGAGGAGTATTTTATGACATGAATATATCATAGTTTTTACCCATTTTCCCATATCATGATATTTGGGTTATCTTTAGTTTTTAGCTGTAAATAAAGCTGCCATAAACATACCTTTTAAAAAAAATTGTTATTTGGAACACATTTTTCTTTTTCTTGGCTGTAGCATGTGGCCTGTGAGATCTTAGTTCCCTGACCAGGAATCAAACCAGGGCCATGGCAGTGAAAGTGCTGAGTCCTAACCACTGGACCACCAAGGAACTCCCATAAAATTCTTGAACAAAATGCTTTGTTTTTGTTTTGTTTTTTTCAGACATATATTTTCCCTTTTCTTGGATATAAACCTAGGAGTAGAATTGCTGGTTCATAAGGTAGATATATGTTTATTTTATTACAAGTTTCCAGTCAGTTTTCCAAAGTGGTTGTATCATTGTATACACCTACTAGCAATAGCTGATGGTTCCTGTTGCTTTATCTCTTAGCATTGATTACCATAAAGCTTTTTCTAAGAAGCTATCCTCCCTTTTAGGGAAAACAGCTGCAAAGATATAACTGAACAAATTATATTAACTCCTGTCATTTAAACTATGGAAGTTGATAAAGGTAATTTTTTTTCTCTCGCCCTGTGTAATTTAAGCTTTTAAAATTAATGTTATCATTTGCTCGCATCTTGCACATGAACACTCCTCTCAGTTCTTTCATCCTCCCTTCCCCTGTGAGACTCTAAAATTGGAGTATTAGATTTAAGCTAATTTTATTCTATATAAGCTTAGTATGATGCAAGATCCATGTACAATTTTAAGCCCATCTGATGGAATGAAATTATATATTAAGAAAAATCTGTATATGAAATATGAACTGACCATTCACAAATCTATATTTTATTCAGCGTCCCTGTGGAGCAATTTGGATTAAGGTATATACCATTCTGTGTCAATAGAATATCACTTACTTGGTAATAAATCAGAAGAGAAATGTTTGGGTCATTCTACTTTAAAGATGCTGTCAATTTACTAGCCTTCTGGGTACTCTGCTTATAAGAAAGAAGTGACCTTAGTGTTTACTCAAAACTGTGATGATTATTATTTCAATAAAAGACATTGATGGATGAACGAGCATGCTAGGTTTGAAATCCTAGGGT